AAGTGATAAAATCTATTTTTTAGTTTCCTGGAAGTATGTACCAAAAGTAAGGTCTGATACATTTATTATTTATACTGTTAGATATCTTCATACATAATACCTGAATATAATTTTAAGAAATTCGTTTTATAAATTTAACCCAAAACATTCAAATAAAATAATGCTATTTATCTTTGTTTACAAATTGCATGTATGTGTATTCAAGCGTATTCAATAAATCATTTTAAGCGTAGAAATAAATGTATAGTGAACATTATTGTTAAAAGGTTTCATGGGATCGATGAAGAATGGTTTAATAATTGGTTAATTTTACAGAAGACGATTATTGTTCATGAGTCAATATTTTAATTTTTTTTCATCATTGATACGTATAGTAAAATTGTTGATATTTTATTATAATTAAACAATTTCTTTTATACGCCTTTTTATTAAAGTTATAAATTATTTTGAATTAAATTAACTTTGTACATATTTTGTACCAATCACATACTGTTTAAACAATTATAACTATTACTACTATATTATTAATCACTATTAGTTTCAAACAAATATATGAGTATACAAAAAATTATTTGTATAATAAAATTATTATATAGGTTCACTTAACTGATTTAAGATCACAGGTATCAGTGGCGTAGCAAGGGTATAGCAAATTGTGCCTACGCCAGGAGCGCGAATTGCAAAAGGGCGCAAATTTGTGCAAAAGTCATATTTTTATTCTACAATCAAATCAAAATTTTTCCATAATACTTTTTGAAATGTGTATATGTTGTTTAATTGTACATATTACGAGTGAATTTAATGGTGGAATTATGAAAATAGCACAAGGGATTTTATATAAAAAATTTTATATGAAGAAATTATCGATGAATTTGCCGATCATAAATCGAGTAAAGTAAATTTTCAGTTTAAAATTAACACTGTAATAATAACTTATAAATATAAATTGTATTCTTAAAAAAATAGTAAAATTAAAGGTTAGAAAAAATATCATGTGATAGTACTGTAGATCTGCAATAGATACGGATACCTATTAAGCTTAAAGCTTAAAAAAAGGTGCACAGACAATAATTATTAATATAAAAAACCTTAGATAATGTTTAATCGAATACAAAATAAATAAATTATTTAAACCTATAGTTGTTATTCAATTATCAATTAAGATAAATTGTGTTATAAATATTTAATATCATTCAGTAAATTATTAAATAATATATTATTTAAATAATTATGTTACTAATCAGTAGGTACTATATCATCAGTATAGTACTATTTTAATAACAATCACAATACAAAATGTAGTTATTCACTTATCGCGTATACATTTTTTTTTGGCCAAGATTAAATCCAGAAGAATTTAGCACCGTTATTCACCAAATTAGACTCTATATAACCATTTATGTTATAACATAAACTAGTGCAATAATCATATACAATGATCTCTTCACTGAATCAGAATGTTGTGTAACTAGTACAAAAGATAATGATTAAGTGAAATATAATTTTGAAGTCCTTGAAATACTTTATATGACTTTAATGAAAACGCGTATAAAAGGGTGTGGATCGTTTATAACTAATAAAATACCAGACAATTATAACTATCAATGTTGAAAAATATTAGAAAGTTGACTCGTGAAAAATCATCAATCGTCTTGATTAAAATGACTAAATATTAATCATAATAATAAAAAATGTCTAATTATAAACTATTTCGTCAATTTCTTAACATATTATTAAATAGTTCGTTATGTGTTGCTGCTATAATACTTATTATATAAATTATAAATACAAACAGATATTAAAATTTGAGCTTATATCATCGAAAAGGATATTATAACTACATCATAGTACCATTTTTTGGTCATTGTGTGATTTTCCGAATGTGATTTAGTTTATTATTGTTAATAATTATTACTAGAATTTAAAAGCAACGATTAGTTAGTTAGTTTTATCTAAAACATTAAATTGAAATAATATATACACTGATATACACTACATCTACATTTATCATTAATAAAAGACATTAAGATTTATTTATTTTTTGAAGACAATGCAAGTATATAACGCATTGCGTATTTCAGTGTATAGGTAACATAATTTTTTCGTAAATTTATGTAAACAAGTAGAATAAAATAAGTTCCATTTTTTCTTACTTCTTAAGTGTAATTTATCGAAATCATTTACAGTATCAAAAAATCAGAGTTAAATGAAAGATTTTATTTCAAGATGATATTTTTTATTACTTACAAAAATGTTTAGCTTAAAGAATTGTCTACTACACTGTGAGAATGGAAATAAAGCCTGTTTTTTTTGTGGGGTTAGGAATTATTCCATAATAGTTTAGGAAAAAAAATATTTTTTACAATTAAAGCGCTAAGAAATCACAGGAAACTTACGCTATGGGAGTTACCATATAGTTTCTATATGATACCCTAACCACACAGGATAAACAAGAAGATACTCCAGTCGGGTCACCGACATCAGACGGCATATCAAGTAACGCCAATTATCTATGACTTGGATATGTATATATAATAATAATAATCATGCGGCCTGTTATTATTTTGAATATCGTGCATCTTCAGGATTCTAATTCATCTTCCATATTCTACCTACACACAACTTGTTGAATTTTCACGAACGTAAATTTATAGTAATTATTAATAAATAATGACATATCATAATAATTATTTTTATAAATTTTTCCAGTAATACTATTTAATAAACCTTATTTTAAAAAATGTCAAAAGATAATTATTATTTTGTTTAAACTTCTAGTGTATAAATATGATTATTAATGATTTTAATACAAAATCGAAAAATATTAGTAGGTGTAAAATTAAAAATGTTTAATTAGTAGTTAAAAATTATTAATGTTCTTTAACATATAACTCTATAAATATTTAATGAATTTGTTGTCAAACGTTTTATAAAATTAAAAAATTAAAATGGAAATTGCATAATAAGTTATTAAATATTTCCTAATATATTCAATGTTTAAAAACAATGAGGAAACATGGTACAGCACCTTGATCATGTATGTCGACATACTTTATTACAATTCATCGTCGAGACCCTCTGGTACCGTTTACTGTTTATTAGAATAATATGAATAATTAGGTGAACAAGACATGGCACCTACAGCCTACGGGTTATATTTGGCTCAGTGTATAAAAGACGTTTGTTTATGGTTACCTGCATATCAATACAAAAGTAAAGGTTTCCAAGTGTTTTTGTAACTACAAATGACTAAAGAGTACCTTAAATAGTTTCCATTCAAAATAAGAATCGATATGGCTTTATAAGTATTATAACACCTTCTTTTTGGTTTGTTGTTTAATATTAAAATAAAACATGTAACTAGAGCGGAAAATTCAATTCTTTTAGATTTGGTTGACGCTATCGAACAAAAAAGTAAACATTCAAATTCAGTAAAATGTAAATAGAAATATTTTAAATATGGCAATTATTTCAAATTAAAATCAATGTCTACATACAATTAGCTTCTTTTTATTTTATAGGATATATTTTTTAATTAATCATTTAATCAGGTTCTATTTCAAATTTAAAAACTATAATCTCTAATAACTAAGCAAAGCATCGTTTTTTAATAATTGTGGTATTTGGAAATTATTAGTTTATTATAGATACCTATAATTTGCATGAAATGTATCTTTAAATTTGTTAGATACGTTGGTATATTTCTACTTTATGGGGCATCCTAAATTTTGGATTTTTTTCTCGGTATTACGTATTTTCAAACGCTGAATACGATGGTGCAAACGAAAATTGGTGCTGATTATTAGTTTTGTAGTTATAGTTGACAGTATCTAATTATAATTGCAAATTTGTTCCGTGGAGCAATAGATATCATAGTTTCTACAAGTACAGAGACTACTGGGTTCAAATCACTAGAGAATGATGTGATTTTTTTTTTTTGCTATTTCGCCAAATTCTAATTTCTCAATCATTTTTTTCACCCAAAATATGACTAATTTTCCCCAAAAAATTTCCAAAATTTAGGGTGCCCCATTAATTAGAATAGTTCCGATACATTTTAAATGTAATTAACATGCATATAAGAATGTATAGGCAAATTCGTTCGTTTCGTTTAATAAGTATGATGTATTTTTAAATCGATTATAATTTCAGAATTGTGTATATATATACAATATGCGGTTTTTTTAATATTATCTTCAACCATATTTTTCTTTAGTTTCAAAAGTTACTAATACCTTCTTATTACATAGATGATAAAACATATTAACAACTTTTAGAAATAGGAGGCTTTGAGAAAACTAATACGATTGTCGCATAATGTATTTTCAAAAGCGCCGAGCGTTAAAGTTTCTTATAATAATAATATATTATAATATGACTCAATATGTGTAATACACGCATGACATAAGTTAAAAGTCCTATTGTTTTGCACTTGTGTGCGTACGCATTTATATTTTAAAATTCTACCAGAGTTCCGTGATAATGTTGAACGCAGATATTGGTTTTTCTTAACAACGAAACGCATAGATTGTGCAAAATCAAAATTCTCGCGTCGTACAATATATTTTGTAACGATGAGCATATATAAATAATAATAATAATAATAATAATAGAAATGTTATAAAGAACACGAATAAAAAAAATGAGGAAAACAACAAATGCGTGTGCTCATCTCAGTCTTATATTATTTATGTTCGAACTGCCAATAGAAGTCAAGTAACGCGCACTGCGGTCTCCCCTTTTTTAGTCACTCATATGTGACCGGCTTCATCCGGTCGAAGCTACGTAATGTAGAGGTAGCTGTACTTGACGACGTAATGCCAGGAGTGCAGATAACCACGCTGCACTTTGCAAACGACCACAGATCACATAAAATCGCGGAATGACTTGAACCCAACGCATAATAGGCATCACGATGAATACGTATCGTTTACGCGAACGAGAAATAAAAAAATAACGTACCGGTCGATAATTTTTTCAAAATATAGAATATTAATTACCTTTCAAACGGAACCGCAACAAATCTCTCGGTTACGTGTTATCGCGTATCCATTATTATAGCAATACGAACGTTGAAGGGTGCATCATATTATGTACTGGCGATTCGTTGTTTTTTTCACGACACACGCGCACTTCAACCGTGCACCACGGACGAGAGAGACGCCGATAAATTGGAGGAAAAAATAAAATAGAAATAAAATTAAAACGAATTAATGAAAAAACACAACACAGACGCACTGTTACGACGTTTGTCCGCGAAAACGGGTTATGACACTTGAATTCGAACGAAACGTACCGCGGTAACGGTTCTAAAATCTGCACGGCAGCGGAATACGAAACGACAACGACGACGACGACGGACAATTGGTACGCTTGTTAACCAAACGAGAGTTGCCGGCGAACTACCTGACCGCGCGGCGACTGCGCACCGTGTACGCCATCTACTCCGTCGGTGACGCGATCGGGGGCTGCCCGCAGACATTCCGGAGGCCTCGCGGGATCCGTCGCGCGCGTCAGAAATATTTGTCTACGCGCACCATACATAATTTGTCTACGCGCACCATACATAAAACCGTATTTTTTTTATACTAAATGGCCATGTATACAAGGCCATGGGATTAGGGTTCGGAACCTTCCCCGAAATTTTTTAAAATTTGCTAGTCAAAAAATATATTTATACTCTAATCCCCCCCGCTTCCAAATATTTTTCTAGTCATGGCCTTGCATGATGGTGTTCTTGTACACGCACGTGGTGTTGTCGCATACCTTCCGCGCATTGTAATACATTTATTTATCTCCTCTCCGGTTCCCGTCGTCACAGATATTGTCGTATTATATTTTATTCTCTGTATCAAGACATGACGTGTTCGGGACGGTAAAATGATCCTGATTATGTATCCACCTCCGGTCGAACCATATAGGTAATATATACCGTACGCATACTTGTGCACCGAATGTACCGAATACCACTGATGTGCGAGGCGTACAGTTGCATCAGTAGCCATAATGTTTCACTAGTTTCGCCCATAACAATATAATAATCATTTATGTTCACGTTTTTATAATCAAAACTTTGGGTAGCACACTTATTTCAAATTATTAGTGTAAATAAGTCGCTTACGCCAAGACACCAATCACGCCAAATTATGTGAATTATGCTCAAAATAAGTTATATCTAATATAAAATCTTATATTTTCACCTCTTACCCCATACTAGAAGATAAAAATAAGCTATATTATCTTAATTTACGAAAATTTCCAAACGATACAAAAATTCAACACTAACAACGAAGAAATTAATAAAATATCCTACAATACGTATAGTACAAGTATGCTAGAAGATAAATGAATCGATATGATTTTATCGAATTAATGTTATTTAATTATTTTATTGAACTTAATCTTTTATTAATTATTAAATTACATTTTTAATCGTAAAAACACGAGCACAAACATTTTTGGTGTACAATAATTGTTAAATTTAACACTTAAAGTCGCCCCCTCGTGGTGCTCTCTGGGTTAATGTGAATCGGGTTTACAAAATAGTTCACATAAATTACTTGAAATAAGTGCTTTTCAAAGTTTCCATTGTGAAAATTTGCGCAAAAAAAATTTTCCTTGGACGAAAGGGAAAACGGTTTTTAAAAAAAATTACCGACAAGTGTATCACCCAATGTTTTATACACGCTTTTATATATTAAGTATAATATGAAGTATATTCATTACTTACTGCACACTATTTGTGTGTTCACTGCAAGGTGCGTAACAGGTATTAGTATTGGTCATCGGTAGATGATGCATCCGTCCGGTCAGACCGGACACCGTAGCTATCAACGGTACAGTGACCCAAAAGGAAGAGGTTCGCGTAATATTCCAATCTTATACACACGTAATATTAATACGCGTGTGCCTATATTTATGTGCGTTATTTTTTCAAAAGCACTCGCATCCACCGTAAACCGCGATAAATCGATTTATGCCGATGCGTTATGATCATTCGACGTTTACCATAATGTATTACAGTATTAATATTAGTTATTAGTGTTGCCATACTAAACGTTTATAATATATGTCGACGAGACACCTATAAATAGGTACTAATTTTATATCTACGTGCATGTACATCACATATCAGAACACCAATCGTCTTGTTTAGAATTGGCCGTAAAACGTAAGAGAAATTCACACTCGAACGTAGTTAAATCTCGTGTAGATATAGTGTTTACGTATAGATATAGCTGTATCTGAAGTATACATCTGAAATTGTATAATACAAGCAAAAGGTATAAATAAAACTTCGTAGGTGTATATAGACACATGTGTAAACATTATAAAGTATAAACCAACTTCGTTATACGTCCTATCAAAGTAGGTATTCGTCATCGTAATAAATGATATGCATATTATAATATATACCAGTCAAATGTAATGTACAGTTATGTTTATCTACTAATAATTAATTTATTGTAAGAAATTGAATCACCGCGCGCAAATTTTGAGAAATTGTATCTCATGTACGAGTACATTTTTTAATTTAGGTACTTCTATAATAAAAATGAATACCTATATACACTGTATCTACAGTATTTTTTTGTGTACAATTCATATACATAGGTATTTTTTTCATACGCATTAATGCTGAAAATCATTAAGGTCATCATCTGAATAAAATTATCTAGCCAACATTTTTAATTTTATTAATATTATGAAGATTTGTATTACTTTTAAAGATGTAGGTATGTAGACGCGCGTTTAATAGGTAGTTTTAGAAAGCGAAACGGTATCTACGGGTTAAAAGAACTTTAAAAGTATGCGCCTTTCCATTTATTTATACATATAGGTCATAAGCGTTATAGAAATAAAATATGCATAATGTATGTATATAGTTGTATATCATCAACATCTATGAGGCCATGAAGTAGTAAATTTATATATAAATCAGTAGACTGTACGAAAACGAAATGGTATAAAGTTTTTTTCTTCTGAGCTAATCAAATTTAAAATGTGTTTATCGTTTACTATGATTTTTTCAGTAATGAAACATTTCATCAATCCCAAAATACTTATTTCTTAAAATATTAGCAATCGAACAAAAAGTGAAGTTAGGTAGAAATTACCCAGTTCCTATGTTACAATTTTTAGTATAAATATTTTGTGAAACAATTATTTTAAGTGTGTTATTAAATGCATTTATTACTTATTTAATCGATGTTAAAAGTTATTAGTAACAACTAAAGCAAGAATTATTTAATTTTACTTATTCTATTCCAAAGCACGTCTTTGTTTCAACATCGTCAACGTAAGAGCGACCTCGTAAAATAATTCATATGTTCAGTGAACGCACTGTCGTGCACAACGATCACTACATAGGGATACGAATCAAAAAATAAAAATATTCATGTTTTCATTTACAAATGAAGCATATCATTTTCATTTCTAAATAACAGGAATTGCAATCGGTAATAAAAATACATTATTTTTATACCTTGCTTTGCATATATTTTAAAATAGTATTTGTATTTCGTAATTCGTAATTTTTTACAACAAAAATAAAGTCATATAAATGAATTTTATGGTATATTACGTTTAAAAAATTATTTACCAGTCTAACTTTATTATTATAAAATATAAAATAAATGTATACAAGATATTTTTATTAGGTTAAAATGCTTTGATTGTTCGTGGGCATATTTACTTGCACGACCACGTGGGCCATATCTATATGATGTTGGTAATACTTTTACTTTTTTCGAAAAAGTGTAAGTGTTTCATATTTTTAAATAAAATTGTTTTATTTAAACGGAAAATGGAAATATTTATCATGTGATTACATTTTTAAGCTGTGTACACTCATTTTTGTTTTCTAAGAATACATTAGAAGTTTTCACCAAAAATAGATTTTTTGATTCATCATATTTCTTTAACTACCTAATTCTTCTTAATTTTTTAATGGTATTTTTTTATCTAATAAAATATTCTATTCATGTTCTTTTGATCTTCACTAATTTCTTTCAGCCTTCTATAGGTACAACATTTTGGCTTATTAGTCATTTCTTACAAATTCTATTTTGGTTTTTGCTGAGTTAGATCTCATCTGTGCGTCATTTGGAAATTAATAATAATAATATTTTTATCCTTAAATTTATAATATTTAAATTATGTAATTAAAATGTTTACTGCTATAAAAATATATATATTACCGTTGTTTGTGTCATTTGACCAGTAGTGTAGTACCTACCAGTGAAAAGACTATGAAATATTTATATTTTATAACCATAACCAATATAATGTGTGTCTGAATAATATTACACTTCATGTCTGAGTGATCAGGTTAAAATATAATGTTGAGTTATTATATTTAGAAGTATCCAATTTTTATAAGTCATGACATAAATATAACAGCATTGCACCCTTTAGTATTATGATGTAACAATATTGTGGTTTCGTCCTCTGTACGAATCGAAAAACAAAAATTGGAAGGATAACTGATAATAACTTATAAGTTCGACACAGTCAAATAAAATTAAGATTAACTACTTCAATCTTCACTGTTCAGTGTATATAATAGTAATTTGAATTACATACAAAATGACCAAAATTATTATCTATAATGCATTCGTTAAAAATCTTTAATATAACACGATAGGTGTTTATAAGAGTTAGATTGCTTAAAATACGTTTTAAATGTCAACCTGTTTTGCAATTAAGAATAATATTTAACATTCTATAAATAAGAATACAGACGTTACTACGTTTACTAGAACCAACAAGTAGTGTTTTCATAATAATACTCCAATCATGTTCAAATAAACTGAATTTTATTCTATAATTTGTACATGTAACATGTACTAAGTTACACAAAAAATATAATTGTATTATCCAATTTATAGACGTTGATTGTATACAGTTGTTCATAAGTCATAACCGAAAAAATATATAATGCAATGAATAAAATTATTACCACGAGTATTAAGCCATGTATGCTAACATTATAATACGTTGTTTATTCTTTTTTCTTGTTATAAGTATAAATTTTATTGTACAGTTGGAAGAACCACCCGAGTAATATTGTGGCATGTCGGTCGCAGTTATTTAACGATTAGGTATACATTTTCTATTTTCATTTCTTCCAATTTTTTCATTGCACATTTACAATACTATATTCTTTTTTTTTTCATTCGATTGTTTCAACAACTTCAATGTATACATATATATATATATATATATATATATACGTTTATGTACGTTTACAAAAAATGTATTAAAACATAAAATACTTGTAGTATTATTGTTTCTTATGCATGAACTACGGTAATTACGAAACGTAGAAAACCCAAAAAACAACCAGTTCTTTACTGCTTATTATTTTTCTCCTTTTTCCACACACACGCGCCCACCAGGTATATTTTTATAACTTT